GACGAGTCCATCGAGAAATTGATCATATCAGTGACCACCACAAAGATAAATACAAAAGGTGGGAGTATTTACAACTAGATACTCGGATTTCTGTTAGTATCTGAGGAACTGCGTACCCGCCCCTCCCCTAACTCAACACCAACAATACCTTCGTATCAGCTAACTGTCGTGGCCTCTGTATTAGAGAGGGGGACTACTCTCTTAAACTCCCATGAGTGACCAAGACATAATTTCTCATTACAATATCAATACAGTAAAGAGCAGACAAGTGGTGAGAATAAAGAAAAAATATTAACTACCAAGTACTAACTAAATATTAACCGCAAAATTCTCTAAACAATCATTCTAAGAATTGTATGGCGGACAGTGAGAAGAATTGCTAAAGAGATCTTGGAAGTGAACGTGTTAATAGAAATTAGGATTATTAGGGTGTTTTCGGCAATTGATACCATATCGTTCATTTAACTTTCAATGTAACGATCTTTCTTTTATTTCTCTCCTCGCAAAGGTAAGGGAATCACTTTAACAGATCCCGACAATATCGTTATCACATCTGGAAAACGCAGCCTGTCTCAGATCTCCGTTTACCAGATTGACAACCCCAAAAAGGGAGGCTGGACTCTAGCTGTGTCAGGGAGCAATGGAGGTCACGAATTTTACGTCAAATCTACTAGTGAGACAAACGTCGACTTCGAACATTACTTCCTTATTCCATTAAGCCGAAGGCGTCGTCGGGAGACGTCTGAAGTACCTATTTCAAATCCAGTAATTGGTAAGTTCGCTCCGTCGATTGTGTTCTTTGAAGACACCAAGGGAACAGGCATCATGATTCGCCTAGGGGGGAGGAGATTTTTGTGCGGATCACACGGTTTTTAGTGGCGGAAGGGGGGATCAGTCGTCGCTAACGGAGCATAAAGGAGGGGGTCTATAGAGAATTGACTGTCAAGTAACTGTCAGTGAGGGGGGAGGAGCGGAGCCTATGGGGTATCAAGTGAGTTTAATCGCGATAAAACCAAAATCCTCCGATTCCCCTCCCCCCATCTCACCGCACGCGCTAGCTAAGAGATACAATAATGCCCAAAAACCATTGACCTAGCTTGTGTTGTCACTTTGGTAGACGCGCTAAATAAATTACATGTACAACGAGTTTATCTGTCTATCTATTTATATAAGTTTTTTTATTTGTCTTTCTTAGGCAAAGCGAACAAGGTGGTTATAACAGTCGCAGGTTCTGAGAAAGTCAATTCAAGCTCCGTGCGTTTGGAACTCATTACCACTGAAGGAACTAGGATCAGTGACGTCACACTACAGACAGCTGACCATGTCCATTTCACCTCAAGCTTCACTCCTCGTGCAACTCAGCCATTCAAATTCAAGCTCAGAGGCATCACTCGTGGCGGGAACCCGTTTGAAAGGATTTCGCACCAGACAATCAAACCGACGACGGTCGTGCTTAGGGGAAAGTATGCCAGCAATGACTATACCCTCCCTCTAGGAAGAGTCTCGTTTGTTCATTTTCAGCTGTGCAATTTCGGTGCCAGTGAATTTTTTGACGTGACCACCGTAAAGGACAAGATGGGGTACTTGCTCTCTCGGAATGTGAGATCAAGGCGGGTGACAAAGGGCCGTTGTGCTACACTTTCCGTTCGCGCTAAAGCTACACGTCCTACTGATGTAGACAAAACAGATATTGTGTTTTTAATCGCCAAGGGTCAAACATCTAAAGTTGTTGCTTCACAAGCAATGCGTCTGTTCGTTGTCTCTTAAGATCATCGGAGTCACATCGGAAGTGTTTTTGCTAATAAACGACAGCAAATGTAAACAAAGAAAAGCATCTAGAATAAAAGAATAGAGAATAAAGAAGTTGATATCAGGACCATGACAGAATGTTTGGTTATCCGTATGATTTTCTATCTTTGTTTCTTTATCTCGGGTCATCAGTTTTCCAGTGCTACTCTTGCAAACTATAATTAATTTTTTTGTAGCACGTATAAACGTGAGGATTTGATATGAAAGTATTTTGGTGTAAGTATCATCTTAGGAGTCTGTGAAGAGCATGCATCATATAAAGATGGCGGACCGATTTTCAATTATTATTCCGGTTGTCAAACTTAAATCAACAATTAATAAGTCCAAACGGTCGTTCGTAACCAACGCCCTCTCTTCAAAACGACCTGAGGAAGTCTGGAGAATTATTCATTGTATTCTCCATCCCAGCCCCAAACGTCTTCAAGCAGATCCGGATAGGCTGAACGAATTTTTTATTAAAACTAATGAAAGAACACTGGGCACCGAACCAGACGAAAGATCAGACCTAATAGAAATTGTACACTCCTTTTCAGAGAAGCCATTGCCTTTCCGCCCTTCTTTTAAATTGCGTTGTGTAACGAGGCAAGATGTGGATCAAGAAATAAGTAAACTTCGTTCTGAAACGTCGACTGGCCTGGATCAGATACCGGTGAGGTTTATGAAATTGGCAAAGGATTATATCTCTGGCCCTATAACGCACATAATTTACAGATGCTTTGTGACATCGAGTTTTCCTAAACTATGGAAGATTGCAAGAATTTCTCCGATTCCCAAGGTTCGTGAACCTCGATGTGATGTAGATCACCGCCCCGTGTCTATCCTGCCAACACTCTCTAAAGTGTTTGAACGCTTAGTGCTCCACCAGCTTGTTGAATACATAAACGAGGAAGCTCTTCTTGGTCCAACCATTAGGGGTTCCGCAAGGAACATTCCACTACCAGTGTTCTATTAGGAATTCGAGATGCCCTGATACGAGCGTCTAGCAAAGGGGAGGTGACATTAATGGTCTGTGCAGATTACAGCAAAGCATTCGACACCGTCCAATTCAAGTTTGTCCTCACCAAGATACATAACCTTGGTTTCTCTAAGGATTTCTTACTATGGATGGTTGATTATCTCACGGATCGAAGACAGTTGTTGCAAATAAATGATAGAAAATCGGACATGGCTAGAAATGAATTTGGCGTCCCACAGGGCTCCATTCTTGGTCCAGTAATTTTTTAACTTTACGTTGCTGATCTTCAGAAGGAATTACAGTGCGATTGTTATCAATATGCTGACGATACGACTTTCTATGTCCACTCGAAGCCCGGCGACTTGGACTCCTCTGCAGTCCAAATAAATAAAACCATCACAAGTCTCATGGACTATTCCACTAGCTGTAACCTGGCTTTGAATCCAGCTAAGACAACCCGGATGCTCATCTCCACACCTCAGATGTCACGCTATCATAGTTTTGAGGAATGGGATCTTCCTGTTGTTTGCGGGGACTCAGCGCTAAAGAGAATTTCTTGTACCAGGCTATTGGGTGTCCACATAGATCAAAATCTCTCATGGAACTCACATGTGTATTCTCTGTTTAGCTCGTCATATGGGACTCTCTCCATTCTGCGTAAGTTAAAAAATCTAGCGCCATTCCACGTTAGAAAACATCTCGCAGAAGGCCTAGTTCTCTCAAAGCTGAACTATGCTTGCGCGGTATTTCATCCCTTGCCTGTTTATCTAGAAAAGCGTCTCCAACGTCTACAGAATGCGTGTGCTGGCTTTGTTACAAGAAAATTTGCAGGTCTCGAGGATATTATTAAGTTAAACAGGTCACCAGTTAAAGAAAACGTTGAATTCAATATTCTCAAACTCACTCATAAATCATTGTACGACAATAATAGCTTTCCTGAGTATCTGAAACTGACTCTCCGTGAAGTAACTGCTTATAATCTAAGATCATCAACAGCACCCGTAATTTTTACTCCTAGAGAATCAGGAACTTTCCACCACTCGGCGGCAACGTTGTTCAATACAGACTCCCGATAGCAACAAGAAATATTTTAGAACATAATGTTTTTTGCCATAGTGCTAAGAAACATTTGTTTGCTAAATATTGGTCTTGAATCCACATAATATGTATTGTATATTTTAATATCTCACGATAAGTTACATTGATTAATTTTATTATTGTTATTATACTTTTAATTAGTTACTACATATATATGTATATATACTTAGATTAGATTAGTATTGTTACAGAAGAAGAGCCTCTTAATAGTTGGAATCTGTAATAAATCAATAAATTAAAATTAAAAATTTAAAAAAAAAATTAAAAAAAAATTATGGGGGATATATTGAGAAGGACTTTGAGGGGATATCCGCCAATTTTGTGTCCCGAGGGTTAGCCCGTTGCCAAATGATACCCTAATGATACCCTCTAGTGAACTCACTTATTTTCAGGAGAGTAAAAATTGAATTTCAAACTAAGTTTGCCACTAATTATAAGACTTGATCCGGCTGAACAACAAGTTAAACTTTATCTGCAGGTCGGTTCATGAATACCTTTTTTATCTATTGAACTCCTTCTGCAGTGGGATATTTTTCCTTCATAACCTGGGATCGCCGCAGAAAGAAATCTGCTAGATATTAACCAGGGAATCCAACGTATGCTTTTCAACACTTCACCTCAATCCTCATAAAACTGTGTTTGCCATGTATGCATATATGTAACCTAGGACTTTGCAAAGCAGTGCAAATCAAATAACAGGTTGGCTCGAAGAAAACAAGTGATCCTAAAACATAAACAGAAGCAACTTTCGAGCCAAGACTTGCTTTGATGACAATGCGCTGTTGTCGATACGACCTTTAAGACCGCACCTCTTTGTGTGCGCGACAAAGCTAAAGATACCTGGTAGAAAAAACATGAAATCATTGCAAAGCCGTCCTGAAGATAAAATTAAATGTATTTTACCGAGTCTGTCAGTGATTGAAAAGCCAAGAGACAAAAATACACGAAAGCGCAACTCTAGACCAAACTGCCTTAGTCGAGTTCCCTACCTAAAAATTAATAAAGGTCGAAAGTTTCTAAAGAAACTGTGTTGCTGCGTCGGTGGGGGTAACAAGGTAATTTGCTTAAATCAACTGTTGAAATTGTAAATTGGCCACCGTAACGAGTTAAAAAGCTGACGTTTCGAGCATTAGCCCTTCGTCGGAGCGAATGGCGAAGGGCTTAGGCTTTCAGGAAGGGCTAACGCTCGAAACGTCAGCTTTTTAACTCGTTACGGTGGCCAATTTACAATTTCAACTTAGTTGATATAACCAAATTCCCTACCTGCATCCGCCCTGAAAAAAAAATGAGCTTGTATTTAGTTCTTATTAACCAAGCGGGAGGTCTGTATGGGAGAATCATGATCGAGGTCGCCAGTACAGACCGAACGCAGTGAGGTCTTTACCAGCGACTGAGGTCAATTTTTCTGCCATACAGACCGACCTAGCTCGGTTTATAAGATGTTTATTATATGGCTGTGTCTTATGTGCCAATTTTTTTATAATCTTTGAACCTTTTTTTTCTAGACCGGTCTAGATGCCGGTCTAAATAGGAAAATCTAGACCGCTTTCAATATTGATTTCAGCCAATCAAATTCGTGAGTTCGGTAGTTCCCATTCCTTGTGAGACACAGCCATATAATAAATATTGTGGTATTAAACAAACACCCAAATGCTCTCTTGATAACCAGTCGTCTAGGAAAAAGGAGTTATTATATGATCCAATACTTTTTTCTAAAGCAGAAATTAAACCGGTCCACCCGATAGCGGAAAGGCTGTGCTCTCCGACTTCTTCACTTTTTCCATATTTGTTTGTTTGTCACAAACCAATTGAAATCTACCAAATTATCCGTAGCTCGTGCACGTGCGTAACCCATAGTCTGCTCATCACTGCTTTTGTTTGGCGACGTCTTTGTAGTCCACTCAAATGATGGCATCTTGTGTTTCGTTTAGCAATTAGGCGCTGCCTTTTGGTGACAGATATATTTAATTACAAGACTCGTTATTGACATTAATTACGTACGGTGATTTAAAAGGTGTTAGCTTATCATGGTTTAAACCAGTTTTGAGAAGAATCAATGAATCTATTCGCTTACCTGAATCTGCTAACCTGAATGGAGAAACCTATTTTTACGACGCTCCACAGAAGTAAGTTTCCAATCACGTTTTTTCTAATTTTGCCACGAGATAAATACTTTATTTGCGTTTTTCTGATTTCGAATCACAAATGTATTTCTTTTAGGTCGAATAATTATTAAAGCTTGGATAATATTATACAGTTTGTGGTGGTCGTCTGAGCTGACCAGTTCCGAGTAAGGAAACACCTTATACAAAACTCGCACATCGACAATGGAGAAAGGTAAAGTCCTTTGACATTCACTAACTTGAGTATCACGGATAACCACACTCACTGATACGATATTTTAAACGCTGTTACATCGTGTAGGTTGCTGAAGGGAAAAAGAAAACCCCGATGGAGGAATAAAATTTGAAATGTTGGTAAGATTTCTGCACAGTCCCATATTCCATTATGAATAGATCATGACTAAAACACCACACGAGTACATACGGGTAACATACGAGTAACATACGAGCAATATACGGAGCATACGGATACACACGAATACATACGACTAACATACGAGTAACATACGAGTAACATACGACTAACACACAAGTAACATACGAGTACATACGAATACATATGAATATATACGAATACATACTAGTAAAAAATACGAAAAAATGCTAGTAAAATTCATGCGAGTAAATTTTTATGCAAAGTAACGACAACTTAAGTAGAATATAACATGAGAGAGCAAAAGATATTTGATATTTGCTCGTCACGCATTACTTCCCCGACTAAGGAAAGATTGCGTTACAAGAACAAAGATCTTTGACTGATAAAACTGGTGGCCTGGGGTCATGCCAGGTAATCCGATGTGCATAAAAATTGGCCTGTCGCGCAGTGGATGGTCTTCACGCGTTCAATCTTTACTGATCACTGAACAGATTGAAGAGCGTAATACTGATTTACAGATG